CCACCCACCCACACCCACCCACACCCACACCCCACCCACACCCACACTCTATTGTTACTTGAATAACTCTCCAGTTTGTACGACGAACTTCAAGTAATCGAAGAGGAATATCAGTATTTTTTTTTAAATAAATTTCTTGACATGGATAAGTTTGTCCACTATCAGTTCGACATCTTACATTTGAATACCAATAATCTTCATCTAAAGAAGAATCATTTGAATGTATCATTTCAGATGCAAAATTCATATAATTTTTTATTTCAAATGAAGTTCCATTATTCCAATGTGATGGAAACCAATTCAATTCACTTCCACCATATTTCCAATATGTCATATACATACATGAATTCATTGGAAATAGTTCATATAATTGTACATAAGATTTTGATTCGGGAGAATCAGGAATTGCATATGGAAAATTTTTCATCACAAAAGCGGTTGTTCCAAGGGGGAAAAAGCAGATTTCAAGATTTCAAGATTCCCAAAGATTCTCAAAGATTTCCAAAGATTTCTAAAGATTTCCAAAGATTTCCAAAGATTTCTAAAGATTTCTAAAGATTTCTAAAGATTTCTAAAGATTTTCAAAGATTTCCAAAGATTTCCAAAGATTTCCAAAGATTTCGAAAGATTTCTAAACACGGCAATTAAAGAAAATATGCATGTTTTAATAAATATCTACTTGAGAACCAAGCCTGGCCTCATTGTATAGGCTTTGGGATGTGATTTACTCTGTTTACTGGAACGAAAACAAATGGGAAATAACATATTGCAAGATTTTAAAAGATTTTTGAAGATCTGCAACTATTTTAGTTAAATAAAATCTGTATGCTCTAACAAATCTTGACCTGAGAACTAAGACGAGACTGTTTTTTATTTATTTTGCAATGTACATCATAAATATCAATTTCTCGCTTTCTTAGAAAAACTGCAAAAACCAAGTAAAAGTTCAATTTTTTCGTTCATCATCATGAACTAAGAAGAGTTTCTAAATTTGATCTTTTTTGATAAAACCTTCAAGGCCTTTCATGATGCTAGACATAACAGCTTTTTCTCCTTTTTTTACCTCACGTCGCAGTGAATAAAAAAATGAACCGTTTATGATTGTTCTTTTTCAGTATTTTAGAAATGAATCATCAACACATATATTATGATAAAACACAGTTTCGAGAATAAAAATCAAAAAGTGAAAGTTAAATAACAATAAAAGAACAATACTATGTTTATACAAAAATTTCATAATTTTTTCAACAAATAAAAGTTAAATTTTAGTTCTCTTAGTATCATAAGAATTATCGACATCATTTTCTACCAAACGTTTGTTATTTCTTTTTCCCTTTTTTGGTTTTGCTGTTGGTTTATTTGTTGAATCATTCAAAAAAGTAGCTACTGCTACTGTTTCTGTGAAGGATTGTTGACGTAGAGGTTGCGAAGGCAACAAAGACAACCTTGCTGCAGTTGAAGTATTTGAATCGTCATTTATTTGTTCTTGTTGTTCATCATTGATTTTCAAACTTCAAAGTTTTTTCATTAATGAACATTTTTGGTTATCTCTCAAATGACGATAATAATTTGATAAGAGGAACTTACTCTTCTGTCTTGAAAGAGCTAACTTTTCATTGCACTTACATTCAATAAATACATCATTCGTATTTTGTATAATCAAATCATAATGAACACCTTCTGTCAAGACGAAATCATCATTACCAAAAAGTTCAACATTTTCAATACTCCATTTTTCAATTGTATTTATTATGATTTGTTTTGGATCATCACTAGTTGATGTTGTCACAGGAGCAAAACAATTAGTTGTAGTCGTAGAAAACGAGTTAGAGTTGGTACTTGCATCAGTAGTACTTGTACCCGTTGATGGAAGATCTGCAGATATTGGTGGAAGAGAAAATCTGTGTTGTTGTTGCTGTTGTTTATGTTTTAATTCTTTTGCATATTCTTCATTTTTTTTTGTAAATAATTCACGTAAATATTCTACATTTGCTTTTAAACCAGGTCGAATCATAAATGTATTATTTCGTAATTCTATAGAACATCGTTTGTGTAAATCAATAAATTCGTCTGCATCCCAGGTTAATATTTCAAATATATCAGATGTTAGAAGGAATGCACTGATGTTGTTAATACCTTGAGCCTTTAACAAGTCAACAATACCTTGACTTCCAGTAACTTGAATAACAATATCATAAAATTTTTGATCGTGAAGTGAAAAAATATTTGTTGGTAATATTGATGTATCAACAGTAATTTTTGACATTGTTCACGAAAAAAAAAATGTTTTCATCTAATACAAAATTTTGTTACAACTGACAATCCACTTTCTTCTGCTATAGCTATAGAGAGAATAGAGATATGAGAGAGAGAAGGAAAATAGAGAAAATAAAATGAGCGTGTTTTATATGACATGTCAAACGAGCCAAACTTGTTCTTTGTCTTTTCGTATCAACCAAAAGCATATATACGATTAGTCTTTCTGTTTCAAAACGCAAGAATAGAAAAGACAAAAATTTTGAAATTTCCCCAAATTTTTAATCAAGTTCATGTAACTAAAGAGAAAAAAAAGTATGGTTGATTTTCTTTCTTGAAGATTTTTTTTCTGAACATTTTTTACGTTTACAAGGATCTTCAAGAATGAAATATTGTGCACAAGTCTCTGAGCTCTAAGTGTTTCATCTATACAAGAAACCATGAAAGCCTGTTCATTTGTAGGTGTAAATGCGGTAAACTCATTATCAAAATTAATTATGCTCTTTGAAATCTATGTAACTTCTTTTTCAATGTTTTGAGTTTTATTTACAAACGGTGTAGAGACATCTTTTCTCTACCGATTGCCGAAATTAGCTAAAGCTTAAATATATTAACTATATATGCATTTAGATTATTAACATCTCATTCTAATGATGGTTAAAGTGGACTGAAAATCTAATCTTTTGCATATATCTCATTACTATTTGATGAAGGAAAATAGAATGCAAAAAGTTATATTATTAATCACAGACGTTCGATTGAGAAAAATTTCTGCTTGTTGCTACACATCTATTCATATACTATTGAAAATGACAAGTATTTTTCTTGCCGAAAAATCCTCTGGTTTCATTTAGAATTTCATGCAGATTCAGAATGTGTTTTCTTCTTGAAAAATATAATAGGCAAAGATGTGACTTTATCAATACTCGTACTTTCTTTTCAACAATATGTTTATCATAGTGAAAAATAGGAAGAGAAATGTTTCATTCGTTTTGTTATTTTTTATAACAAACATTTTTTTTCTAAAGAATATTACTGAAACTATTTTTTACCTTGAAAAAATTCGCTTCCATCGTATACACTAAATCTATGAAAGATCCATACAATGGGCTATTTAATTTCAGTCTGAATTTATCATATAAAAATAATACTTGATTTCAAACTGAAACGTGAGTCTAGGAGTGAGGGGGGGGGGGGACTGAGGGTGTGGGTGTTGGTCTGGGACCCACACACACACCCACACCCATGGTGCGGGTGTGGGCGCGCGAGTGAGGGTGAGGGTGTGCTTGTGGCTTTGTGTACTATAGGCTTTAGTCCCCTGCACAAGGGACTAAGCGGGGACTAAGCTTTTTGTGGGGGGACTAAGGGGGACTTTGCAGGACTAGGGGGGACTAAGGGTTTTTAGTGAGACTAAGTACCCAGTGAAAAATTTTCGAGATTTTCAATCGGATTTTTCTGCAACAAAATCAAAATTATAATCGATTGATAATTTTGATTATTGTTGATCACGACTTAACTATTACTTGATTTTGTTACTTATTCAGTGTGGAATTATCTGATTAAAATCGGATAGTTCTGTAGCAAATCCAGGATTACCAATCGATTAATAATTTCGATTATGCTGCAAAGTAATCCGATTTCAATTAGAAAATTTCGCACTAATTAAGCAACAATGTCAAATAATGGATCAGTTGTGATCAAAAATAATCAAAATTATCAATCGATTACAATTTTGATTTTGTTGCAGAAAAATCCGATTGAAAATCGCGAAAATTTTTCACTGGGTAGTATCAAACGAGAAAAGTTTGATTCGGAAGAAATTGGTGCGGTTTTTTTGATTTTAGAATTCAGTTTGAAATAAAAAAGCCCATAGACTCGAAAGATCACACATTTACTGTGTGTAAAAAAATACGTAAACCATTTATAGACAGATTTTCTAGAAGACTGTTGAAAATCAACCTTTAGATATAAATATTTCGATATCTTAGAGAAGTCGTCGATGTATGGAATCGTGAAAATGATTTCTAGAATAAAAAAAAATAACACGGCTATAAATATATTTTTCTTATCAAACGAATAATACTTGAGTGTGAGCACTTACTCCTAGTTATACCATCAAGTTTATGCATTACATGGATACGGGGTAATGTGCAATACTGATGGAGGTCTCTGAAAAGTCATAACCACTGCATTCAGTGACGAACTTTGAAAAACTAATTTCACAGACCGTTAGAGAAAAGATATCTCTGCATGGTTGGTTAAGAAAAATTTTAAAAAACATTGGGAAAAAGTCATATAGATTTAAAAAGTATAATTAGTTTAATAATGTATTTATCCCTTTGAGTTCTATATTCTATTTCATTTAGTCTTTCCGAAGTCAAATTTTCCTTTTTCAATCAGTTAAGAATGATAACGTCTGATGGATATCAAGAGTTAGGTATAATACTCTAGAGCAGCGAGCTATTTAGTTTGAAAACTAGTAGCGTAACCAGAGGGGGGCAAGGGGGGGCTGAGCCCCCCCTACGAAAGGTTTTGCCCCCCCTAGAAAAATTTCGATCCCCTTTTATTAAAGAAAATTGCGTTTGATTTCTGTAATAATAGAAATCAACATACAGCTTATTCATAACAGCAAGCATCATCAACAATAAGAAGTCCAGAACTCGAAGGAAAATCCCTTAGAAAATGAATTTCTAATGCACATTTTTCTTGCATTTTTAAGAAGTTTTCGCTTCGCGACTTAGGTCTGTCCCATAAGTTTTCATTTTGATCAGTCTTCTCTCCATTTCGAATTAGCATTTGAAATATGATTCGTTTGTCTGTGTGACTTAGGCAATGGGAAGCTTTGTATACGCCTTGCGTTTATCTTCCACTTTTAACACAGCGATTGAAAGCGTAGAGGACTTTAGTGGCTGAACATATATGAGTGCTATAATTTCGTTCTTGTCACTCCAGAAGCGTGAGTTTTTATTTCATTGAACTATACAATATTTTAATCAAACCGTTTTTATTCCGTTCCAAAAAGGTGCCGCCTTCGGCGGCATGCTCTCCTTGAATAAATAATAAATCAATGCTTTTTATACCGCTATTATCTCATCAGAAATTTTAGAGTCTAAGAAGAAACAAAATTTCTCACTGTGTGGTATTGTCCAAACAATAGTATAGAAAAGAACGGTGAGGAACAGTTTATATGGTATAAAACATTTTGCTCTTCTTATATTTTGACGCCAGATATGTCTCTTGGAGATAGGGATGCACTAAACAGTAAGTAACGGGTAGGAGCAAAAGAAATTCTCGATATTTTCGATAAATTGTTTCGAAAAAGGGTGTTTGTAACAGGTAAATATGCGTTTTGTAGCACGTTCAATAGGATTTCGTATGTGCTATTCAATTTTTATACACGTCATACGAACTAAAAAAACTAGACAAAGAATTATGTTGTTTCGTTGTCTACAGTTGGGGAGGGGGGGGCTGAGCCCCTCCTACGGATTTTTCCTGGTTACGCCCCTATTGAAAACGTCGTACGGACCCGAAATGTTTACTGCATGATGGTATTTGTCATGCTTCAAAAGCTTTCTTATACATTAAACAAGATATTAACTTATATTGTATATACAGTTTCGCAAGAAATTGTGTAGTGAAGATATCGCTTTCTTCAAAGTTATAGTAAAAATAAACTTATTGAAAAAGAGCCAGCTTTTATGTTCAAAAGATGATGAACCTAGAAGAGAAGATTCAGAAAACAAAAATAACTAAGAGTTTGACGAAAATCTATCAAAACGAAGTAGTAAAAATTTGAGTGTGAATTGGATCAGAGTCAGAGTACTTCGTGATATGTGATAAGAAAAAGTGTTAGTAGTTTTAACTATTCGCCTCTACAGAAAAAACACTGCTAAAAGTGATTGTTGTCGGTAATAATGATAGTGTTGTAGGTGATATTATATTTTAAATGAAATACGGTTCTCTAGAAGACTAAGATTCGAAATAATCTTCATATTACGACAGAAATGCCAAAACAACCCTTAAATATGGATTCAAAACATGTCAGTTTTGCTTTTTTGGTTTTCAAATCTGAGATTGGCTCTGTAAGGAAGAATTCCGAAGACCTAAAAAACGTCCAATTTCAGAGAAAAACTCGACAATTAACAAATGAATGGGTCAGTTACAAAATGAAAATAATTAATAAAAAATTTGCTAAAATCATTCCTGAGATTTTTTTCTCTCAGCCTTATTCACATTATGCTTTCCTGCTTTAGGCGAAGTTTGTTTAATTCGTGTTTCACACTTTTTCACTACCAGTTTTTTTGTTTAGAAATTCTTTATTTTATATATACACTAAATTTCTTTTGATTAATTCAGATATACATTTGCTTTCTCAATGCAAAGTTTAATCCTAGCTAACACTTTAGTGTTGCCTTCTGATATATTTCTGTTAAAAAATGATAGTTTTTATTCTTACGTAAAGGAAGCTGTAGGTGATATTCCTGCATCTTACTTGAAATTTTTAAGTATTAATTCTGTAGATTGCTTGTTACGTATTGATGATATATTTTCATTTATTTCGATTGATTCTCCAGAATTCAATGATTTGAGAAGCAAACTAGCATTTCAATTGAACAATGGAACTTTCGTCGTCAGACCTGGATTTAAACACATTTTAAATAATTTTATTCAAATTCTTCGTGACAAACAGAAAAACGATAGTAGTAGAAATAATGATGAACAACAAAAAGAAGAAATATTTAAAATAGTTCAAAAGCATTCACTGCTTCGTTCATTAATTTCTTTCTATCAAGTTAATAATACTAATGATTTTAGTACATCATTTTTGTGTTGTCTTATTGAAAATACAATCGATAATCTTATGAGACCCAAGAATCATTATCATTATGCAAAACCAGTCATTGATTTTTCCATCTCACTCTACATTTTGGGAGGACGAACCACCTATGAATTCGTACGAAGTAATCTTATATGTGCTCTACCAAGTATAACAACAATAAATCAGTTGAT